GAGGCGTTCAGTAGCTTCGAACCCCAAATCTTGACATCCGCACTGGGCCTTCAGAAGTTTCCTGGATGTTCCGCCCTGAAAAAGCCAACACTAACTTGACACTCAGAGTCTTGGGCCCATCACTTCATCCCCAATCTGTCAAATGCGGGAAGCCGGACTGGAATTTGATGAGGAGGTGCGGCCTGCAAAAACCAGAAGTGGCTGATAAGCGTGAAATGTCAGCGGGGGCACCAGGTGTCTGTCTCCGTCTTTGAGTACAGAACATGACATCGCCGATTGAGATTCTGCGCCCGTAGCTGAAATATAGGCAGCTGTCGGGTAGCCCAACAATTCTCCAAAAGCTTTCTATTGGAGCGCTGGCAGAGCACGTGTAGGCCGCATGCTTACACGATGACTCTCATTCGAAGCTTAGAATTTGTAACCGTCCAGCTGGCCTCTGCCAGTGCTCTACCTCAACAAAGAAAATCCCTCTATACCTGCACCGTAAACGGATACAAGACCTCCATGATGGGACTTGATTTGTTGAGATTGACCTTACGGTGTCAATACCCTCACAGGGTTGGGCGCGATTTTTGGAGCTTCTTGCTGATTAGTTTGATGTTGAGCCTAGCCTCGGCCCTCTGCTCAGCATGTGCTCAGCCCACTTCAGAAACCCTCAGGCTTCAGCCAATACATACAAGTGTCACGCAAAACCCTGCATCTGTGAACTCACGGACCCTCTCCAACCGGGACCCTCTCCCCACAACGTGACGGGCCACACGTCATTTACTTCAGTTACTCGCTTAAAAGCCCGCGCAATCAAACCCAGACCTGCCTGGGTAGGTTCCAGTGCCTAAGGATCATGTCGAACAACTCTGGAGACTTGGCAGCTATGTCCTCAGCAAGGGGTGCAGAGTTCACTGTTTGCAGGCTCCGGTTCGGAGCCCAATGCCTTCCAGGTGTTGACAGCCCGAAGGGATGATCAGAATCAACGGCGATTCTTAGGAATAGCAGCAACAGAAATTCCCAGCAGGGCTCAGGTTCCAAGTTCGATGATTGAACGAATGGGGGCCTGAGATCGCAAATTTCATGTTTAGAAGGTGTCTAAAGCCCCACTTGCGCTGCAAAGTGCCGTGAAAGCCATGCTGACAAAGAACACGCTCGCGTCAGGAAATGCGATCATTCCCCCTGCATATGGTTTGTCTACGTCACTTTGTTTGCTCGCCTTGGTCCTTTTGAAGTTATGCCGCAATTCTTCCGCCGGTGCCATCGCCCAAGAGGTCTTGCTGAAGGAACGTTATCACTCTGCAGGAGGAGTTGCCATGGAGATCTGTGCGAGCTTGAAAGTCTATGATTGCAGCAAGCGGCCACGGCAAAGAACCGATGCTGGCACGTATGGGTCAAAAATGGCTTTCAATAGGGGCTGTTGAGCAGCTGACAGGACTTGCCTTTGTGGAACTCGGAACCCAAATCGAAGCAGGAAGGCTGAAAAATCTATGAACCCGAGCGTCCGCCGAGTCGGCAGCAGGAATGTAAACAAACTGCTGGACACCTGGGTTGAACTCTCTGACTTAGTGTCTAAGCCGTTAGCGCGATCTGCAGCAGATTGGGAATCTTTGTAGGTTCCCTTGGCGCAAGTGGGCCAGTAGTAGATGCTGGAGGAAGTCGCGTAGGGGCTGAGTTCTCGGGAGTTGAAGCTTGTTGAGCCGTGGGGGGGGAGGGGTCTACTCAACTAAAATCCTAAAACATGCAAGAAGGAATTCTTAATCCCACGGTTTCAAGGGCTCTTGGGTCTGTCGGATCAAAAAGCAGGCATCGCCAACTTGGAGAGGCTGAATAGCTGCAATCTGCATTGCTTTGATTTGGATCTTGCGCACTGCACCAACCATGTGGCAACCCCTTCAAGATCTAGACTCAGGAAACCCCGGCACTGCCTCAAGTCCAGATTAAGTGTAGCAGCGTCGGTGGGCCCTGACCCTCCCTCCGAGCCCAAAACCCCAGAGGCCGCAGACAGCCCTAAACACAAGTTGCACCCACCGCAAACCAAAAACTGGGAGAAGTCACGGACTTAGCAGCTCGCTGAGGCGCTACGCAGGGAGCTCAACTCTCAGTCCGTGCGGTCACTTTCCCTGAATTTTCCAAAGTACACAACTCATCAAGTTGTAACCGCTTCCCAGTTGAGTCGACTATCCTGTGGGTCGTGAAGCTGGAAACGATTAGATCCAGATGTAATAACAGCTCTTCGTGCGCCGCAAACTACGCCCGGGACCCCAAATCCAAAGGCTCAAACCCGAGCCACAAGCAGAGCCCCATCTTGAGATGAAAGGCTCCCGTCCGTGAGGAACTTCCCATGTTTCAGCGCAAAGCCCTGCACAAGATCTCACGAGAAAAATGTACGTTCTGATATGGTCTCCCTAAGGGTGTGTCCCGGGATTGAAGGTCGAATCAAAGAGAACGTCTGCAGTGCGATTGCAGCGTAGGCAGCGCAACCCAGATTCTAACCGTGCAGTGTGCGGAAGGACCCATCTTGCTCCATGTAAAAGAAACGCTCCCCACAAACTGTTCCTGCACGTGAAATTCCTGCCAGAAAAGGTTTACATCCCACATCAAGGAAAGGCACCCAGCGCTTCTGCACTTAGGAACCTGCATCATTCAAACCTCAGACTCCGTGAGCCGTTCAACCCGAGACCTCCAATGTCGGAGGGCAGTCGTAGTTTCCAATCGCATGATTGCCACCGCAAGCTGCCCACTCTTTAGATTCAGGCAGCTTGCTCTTCACAACAGCGACCCCAAACCCGCAGCTAACCCAACCTTCCTCACCCCAACAACCCTGAAACAGCTCGAAAGAATCTTGTGCAAGGCATTTCCTGTCGCCTTCTCCATCAACGCCACGCTTGAAGATCGAATTCATAGTTTAGTTGGAGCGTGAGCATCTGGATTTTGTACTTAAGTTCGTATCATGGCTGCTTGAGGGTGTCCATCATGGTCCCCCTGACAGAAAATTACAAGACTTTGCCAAGGACGTCAATACAGTAGCAAGCTGAATGGTTGGGTTGCGGTACTGGGGACGACCATGCAGGTGGGCAATTGATCATACGGCCTTAGACGTTACGCCGCAGGCAGCCCTTGCCTCTTCTTTCGTGCCCGCTTTCCTCTTGCGGGCCTTGCCAGTGCCAGTCGGAGACTCGGATTCCTCCCCACAGCAGGGAAAGTGCAATTTGCTTGCACGTTTCTTGCTCTCCATGGTGGAACCCAACCATCTGCAATACCCTACATACCCTATGCTTGGGAGCCTGGCAGGGGAGAGGATAGCAGCGTTTCAGACCTTGTTTGGGGCCTGAGGTCACCCCAAACCTCCATACCGAAACCTTTGCTCAATCTCCACCAACCACCAGCTGAACCAACACAGATTAAGCCGATCAAGCACACTCTTCTCTGCATGTGGTCCTTGCTACAAATGCAGCAGTGAGCTTGCAAAGTGTGATAGTTCCAGGGGGCAGCAAACCAACACATGGTCTGCAAGCTCCTACATGGCAAACACTGTCAAAGCACATCCCTGGCGAAACTTATCGATGGAGTCTCTGGCTTTGCTTGTCGAGTGGTTGAAGGTCGTTGCCTTGACCAGGAGGGATGTCCCCTGTTTCTGCGACATCTTGCAATGGTACGGTGGGTTGATGTTGCCATTGGTTTGTAGATGGCTTGCTGGTGTCCGAATTGAATTTAAAGCAGCATTGGGAACACAGGCATGGCAAATGAAAGTGCTTCTGTTTCACTATGCTGCCGTCTTCCTCTGAGCGCAGAAAGCCTGATATACTGAATACTCTGAAAAACAACCTAGCGGAGCAGACCCCTGAGCACAACGAAGCACGCGAGCTCTTCAGCGGGGAAGTTGCAAGGCAACTCAAGCACGGGATTGCAATCCTTGTATGACCCTAAATACCTTTTGCCCCAGGAGGTCCTCCTCCGATCTCTCAGACATCGCCTGTGCAGCAGCAAGGAGATAAGGGTTGTTTTGGGGTGGAAGTGGCGGTTTGGCAGTTTGCAAGCAAGCGCATTCAAACGCAAACTCGCATCTCTCACTCCCTCACTTACACTTGGCCAACCAAGACTCCCGAGAAGGCCTCAACTTTGCCTTCGAGAATCTGCATCTCACGGTGCTGAGCTTCAGCTTTTCTTTGCAGCTCCCCTTCGAGATTTTGCATCTCACGGTGCTGAGCTTCAGCTTTTTTTTGCAGCTCCTGCGCGCCAATCAAGAGGGTTTGTGGGCTGCGCAGTGCAAGGTTCAAGGCCGGGGGGTGCGAGGCAGTGATGGATGTTCAATGTTCAGGCTTCATAAGCTGAGGTGTTTCAGTTCCAGATGCCAATGTGCACCCTGCACAGAACCAGAAACAGAACATATGAAAGCAGGTAAGAACTTTAAATCGGCGAACGCTATGACGAGCCTGCATGCTTCGGTGTTCCAACATGTCTCCAAAAATTCTGGTTTCCCTCTTTGCAAATATCACCATTCGGTCAGCAAGCTCACACTGCCAGTCTGCAGGAACTTCCCCCTTGCAAGGCAGATGTTCACCCGAATAATCCGGTCGGGTTTTGCAATGTTCTTCGGCGAAGCCACTTCCAGTATGGCACCACAAAAACTTACGGTCTCGCATGCTGGTCGAAATTGCTGCAATCAGAATGGCACTAGGCAATGCCAATTGCTGTTACAGGAGTCAGCACTGTGAGACAAGAAAACTACCGCTAAGTCAAAACTTTTCTCACTAGCGACTTGAGAGGCGATGTAAAGTGTGTCAAACATGAAAGCATAAACAGTGCAGACCTGGACATAGCTACCTAGCTCACAAAAGTAGCATCAAAAGTAGCTAACCTCACCCCCTCGTCGTGTGTTTCAGCACTAAGATGCACACTGAGCACTCAAAAGACACAGGCGTTGGGTCGCCCAAGCTATCATTGTGCTCTTGGATGAGTTAGTAGGTAGCCGAAATTTAAGGCAAACAAGTCAATTCACTACGTCATGCTACGCTTATTGGCCCCTGTAGCGGCGCCGCTCATTGACATAGTACCAGGTGCGCCCATGGTACCGGCCATAATTCCAGCGCTGCCAATCAGCAGCAGACCATCTTGGACGGTCAGCGGGAGCAGCGCTTTGGCTATTGCAGCAACCTTTGAGGCCGCCGATTGCTTTGCACGTGTGGGAGCTTTGGCGCGGGCCGCCTGCAGGTTGTCATTGAAGATGCCAGTGAGCTCATCGACCAGGGCGTCCAGAGTCGCCGCCTTGAGAAGCGACGGGCAGCCCCAGCCCCGTTGCCGAGGGCCAACCCGGCAAAGGTGGAAGCATCCATGAGCGTGCCATAGTAACCCACACATGTTGCACTGCGTGGTGTTGTCCGCCATCTGCTCCACCGCAGTCTCGTTGAAGAATGTCAGCTTGGCAACCACATCGCTCTTGGTGGTGGAGTAGAAATCAGCCTGACTTCGGGATGTAGTGCCTATCTCAGTGGGAGCCGCCGGAGCCGCAGTAGAGGAGCTTGGGCGAGTAGAAGAATCATCCACGGTGGCAGTGAACACGACTCCTTCTGAGTGTCGATGATTGTGAGACTCGCAGTGGGCAGAGCTCCGGACAGAGGACACCCTCAGCGCTGACGGTGCAAAAAAATTCAAGGAGCTTCTTGACTGGGATCTGTGCAAAGTAGCAGTGAACTCGTCCGCTACCTTGGAAGCCAGGGACCATTCTGCAGGATTCCGGAGATGCTATCGCGGGCTGCCCGACTTCCTCCACCAGGACCGCATTTGCATCATCTGCAGGCAAGAGGGAAAAGAACGACGTAGAGATGCTGAAGTCGGTGTCCCTGCTTGCGGCAATGTTGGCGTGGTGGCCTCTGGCAGCCCGAGCACCCTGCTGTCCGGTGGCTTCCTTCCAAATGATGTCAATGCCACGCAGCATGAACCTGCCCTTCTTATCCTCGGCCACCATTTGAACCAACTGACGCACGCCCCAGGATCGACCACGGCTTCGGTTGAAAACCTTCAGGCACTGCTCGAGGTTAGCCCAGAGACCAACTCCTTGGCGAAGTTGCCACTGACCAATCCTGCGAAGAAAAGCAGATCTCCATGGTGAAGCCACACACGCTTCTTGGGCGTGACAAGGGTTTCCCGTGGCATGTCATGAGGAGCGTAGTCACTGCCACGGAAATGGAACGTCTCGCGCTCCTCGCGCAAGGACACCTCGACCTCGGGCTCCTCGGGATTGAGAATGCCGCACATCTCCTCGATGTAGGCATCATCATCTGCACCGGCGGCACGCTGATAGGACGGGGCCTGCTTTTGCTGGGGGCTAGCTAGCTGGCTCCGCATCCGGCTCATGTTCTGGAAGAGCGTCAAGTCAATTAAGTCCAGAGCCTCGTCCAGAGTCCCATGTGCCTCGGTGGAAATGAGGTCCTTTTCCCCATCTCTCTCAACAGGAATGACGTCCGTGTCGGGAAGGGTCCGCGAGCTCAAGCTCTGCGTCCGTGAGGTCCCGGGCCGTAGCACGCTGATCCGGCGCCTCTGTTCGACCGCCCTGCGGCACTCTTGGGCGACGTGAGTCAAAGTCTTTCCCCACACGCATCGAGTAATTAGCGATGAACAGGGTACCCATTTGACTGGACGGAGGCCTCAACTTCACGACTGATGTCGCCGCGGACGACCTGGCCAAGGTCTTTATATCACAGCATCCTTGTCGAATCAATCTCAAAATTTAAAGCTTTCTCCTTGCAAAGGGCTACCTTGTTCACCAGGTGACCCAGGCCCCAATCATTCAACTCTGAGAGAGCCACCAGGTTCGGCGAGTTGGAGAGGCCCTGAGTCAGCTTCTGAGTAGCCGAGAAGAAATCCTCATTCTCCAGCTGGAGCCTCTCTGCTGCCCATCCGCCTCGGTAAAGGCACTCCAACGCCAACTTGTCTTGCACTTGTTTGGTGGGGAGAACCGAACAGCGACAGTCTATGCGCAAGACGGCGTTCTCGAACCGCGTGTCTGCCGTTGGCACTTGGGAAGCCGCCATCACGGCACCGTCAAAACGCTGCTTGGGCTGGGCTTATAACCCGTAGCGGCTCTTGATTGCAAGCAGCTTTGGCAGGATCACAGAAAGCTTTGCCGTAATAGCCCTTGGGGTTTTAGGGACAAGACCAAGGACAGGTCCGCAAAAACCGGCTCTCCTTCCTGAAAACTTGGGTTTTGGCCTCTCCTGAGCAATGACTCGGTGTCTGTGCACGCCGGCGGCTATTCGGGGGGAAGCAAAAGCAACACGCGGGTTTGCGCAATTTTGGCAGCCTGCAACACTGCTTCTGCAAGGTCTTGATTTCCGCTGGCTTCAAATCAAACACGGAGCATGTGTGGTGTAATACGCAACTGATAGCCTAACGCCGGACCAACCTTGCACTGCATGAGCTAGTTTGATTTGGGTGAAAAACAGATAGGCTTGCGGCAGGTGACAGGTGTCGTGCAACTTGGCCTTGATCGTCTCGCCCTGCTTTGCGGTAATACTTCGATCATCCCGCTCATCCTCAACACACAGACCGCCTCCTTTGCTTTGTCCCAATGAGAATGCACAGTTTGTAGACCCTTTTGCAGGTTGTGCTCATCCATATGCGTTGTTGCTCGCAATGGTCGGTGCTCCATGTCATACCTTTGGGCAGAAGACGAACCAGAAATTGATTGATGTACTTGACACATTGAGGATAGCACATTGTTCGATTAGTGATCCACAAGATGGCCCACGGGCAGACAACGCGCCAAATGCCATGTGTCGCGAACGCTTGTCACACTTCTGCACTGCTCAAAAAGGTGGACTTGCCCTCTCCAAAGATCATACCGAATAACCTTTTCCAACGCGTCATCGGAGTAGCCTTTAGACTTCAGCAGGGCCGCCGCCATACTTTCGCAGGTTTGAATTGCTTCTGCCGCTGGCGTTGCAGTTGGCTCTGCTGGCTTAGGGTTGCCCCTAGCGACCTTACACGTGTGGAAGCTGCGGAAGGCGTCGCTGCGCGCGATAAGCCTCAGCGCACGTTGCGACTTTGTACGGTCTGTGAATGGCTTTGGGAATCTATCTGCCACTTGCTCTCGAGCGTCAGCATTCAGCATGTGAAAATGTCCAAACTCAAACTGCTGGCGCAGCCATGCAAAAGACACTTTCTGCGCGCGCTCTGCACGCCGCATAGTTCCGGACGCTTCCGTGAGTAGAATCGTAATTGTCGCCTGATTGTCTTCCAGGACCCTGACCTTGAACTTGTCGGGAAAGGAAACATGAAGACCATTGATGTCAGCAACACTTCTACCGTCTGAAGCTTTACCTCCGTAGCGGATTTCATCAAGCTCCGGGTCAATGCGCGCAACAGCTGTACCAGGTCTGATTGCAGCTTAAGCCACGGCCTCGCGGGCGGCTCCTCCCATCCAGAGGACGAATCAGAGGCTCAGTGATGGAAGACCTTGGGCGCGAATTCCCTGGTTTGCAGCTAACTTCAGATTCTGTAGAGCTGATTTGGTAACGGTGGTCTGCTTCTGGCTGAAGGCATTGAGAGGGTAATACGTGTTTGGTAGATTTGGCATCGACCTCACCAGCAAAGTCACCATCGCAGAATAGCCACAACTGACAATCATTGATTGCATCTCCAATGAATCCACTCGTGGTAACGCGCAAGGCGCAACTGATATAGGCCACCAAGCGATGTAACCCAATGTCGCAGTCAGCGCTCCATTTCGCTATCTTAGGAGCCATAGATTGGGCAGCCTTAAGTCAACAAATCCCACCTAGCCACGCGCGCTGCGAATAAGATCTTCATGAGGACCTTGCTCGCAATAGGTTGCAACCGCCCGACCTTCTCATTTTCCTCATGAGATCTAGCAGTGCGCTGATCATGGAAAGGTGTTGCGACAGGTTTTAGACTATCCTTAGATACCTGGTTGACGGGCTTTGTCACGCAGCCTACCCTCTTATCCGACTTATCCTTCTGGTCGTCCCCAATGGTTACGAAGTGATTGCCCTTGGCCTCCTATGCCTGGCCTTTGTCCCTGAGAGGCTTGCCCCTGCGGGCAGCTGCCACAGCAACTTTAAGCTCAGCAGGGTCGCGGCCTTCGAGGTCAAAGTAGGTTGCCCCAGTCCACCAATCTGAGATGGATGGGGAGCGACTTTCACTGAAGTCATCCTGAACAATCGTTTCTCCCTTTCCCCCCCTAAAATCTAGAGGAAGTCATCGCAGGGAACCTGGAAAGGTCATGTTCTGTAGGAACGCGCAAACGCCTACGAGGATAGCAATGATGCTTCACAGCCAACATGTTCTCAGGATCGATATCCCAATAATCCTCACGTCGAACTGGAGCAGCTGCAGCCTTATAACTCGTGACGCACGCAACCAAAATAACTCCCTAAAACCTCCGCAGGATCCATGTCAATCAAGCTCCCGACCAACTCCCAGCCTTTGCCATATTCTTTTCTGGGCCAGCCATCTTGAAGTCGTCTACATAGATACTAACAAGAGGTCGATAGATAACTAACAAGAGGTCAAGCTTAGGATGATGAAGCAAATCCGGGAGAACAGCGACAAAGCCAGCTTTGGCGAGTTCCTTCGAACAGCGCTGATCCCAGATGCCTCCTGAGTCGGGATGTCTGTAGAAGGCTAGGCGCAATGGCGCAACGGGATCTTTCATCCCGGACCAGGCCATCGATTCCTTGGTAGCCTTAACCATGTCTCCGTACCGTTCAAGAGGGCCTAGCGTAAGCCTGCCTTGCATCAGCTTGTTGTTTGATAAAGCCAGGCTGAGCACCGTAAGCATCGATGATCTTACCAGCTTCCATGGAGGCCGGACTGCTTCCTAACTCTGCAAACAAAGCGTGATCAGAGTTTTCATCCAACACCTTCTTGCCCTGGAACTCAGATCTGCCTTTTTTCTTACGACTGGGGTCTCCTTCTTTGAGTTCGGACCCCTTCAAAGCGCAGATTTCAAAGACCCTTCCGAAGTGAACCTTCAACTACCTCTTATGGGCCTCTGAGGCAACTTAATCGTGTTTGCTTTTCGATCCAACATCCCTTGTCCACTAGTTTCTGCCACTCTTTGTCAAGCGCGGCCTTGGCAGCGGAGGGTTCGTTTGATCGGGTGAACAACTGGCATTGCCGGCGTTGCTTTCTTTAGCTCCTGAAAACTTAGCCTTAGCCTCCCTTTCCGCCTCAAGTTCAAGGCGATATCTTTCGACGTCAGCAGCCCTGTCCTTCTGGGACATAGCCATCCAAGCAGAGGACGGGGTGTCAAGAGGTCCAGCAGAACCCCGCTTTTTACGAACCAAACGAGCACCATCCCAGGTGTGTAACCCTCAGGAACTGGGGAAGCATCAGGCATTTTAAAAAGATTAGCACCGGAAGTACAGCACCCAATCTTGTGGAACTTGCACGGAACCTTGGAGAGGTCTTTTGGGGAGTTTGCTCTACCTCGGTTTGAGCTACTGCTCCTGGGCTTCTCCCGCTTGTACTAGTACTTGCAATCGGCACCTTTCTCGCACTTGCCAGTCTTGACCCACGTAAAACAGAATCTTTTAGAGACTTGACTACTTTCTCGGATCCTGGAAGGCTCTCTTCCTTTCCTTCCACCTTTGCCTTTCCCCTTACCATCTTCAGGCGCGGGGGCTCCGTACTTGGCACCACGGGCCTTCACTATCTTGTCCCTGCTCTTCCTAACCCTTTCTCTAGTCGGACCTCAGTACCTTCCTTAGCACGGTCTTAGGTCCCCAAGCCACACTTGAGCCTATGGGAACCCCGAACCTGCCTCAGCAGGATGTCCCTTAGCGTATGCTCTTCGGGGACATGTGAAATCCCTGCGATGACAGATTCTCAAGTGTGAATGAACGTGCTAAGATCGTGGTTTATTTTGAGCAAATCTTCGACCGAATAGAGGCCCCAAGCTCTTGGTTTGTTTTAACGGACTGCTCAAAAATGTAGAGCGCCTGCCTGCCTCTTGCGGCCATTGACTGAGCAGCTTCGGACTCCTTGTAGTTGACAATCTGGCGGGCCAGATCGCCCTTCACCAGCTTCCTGATGGTGGCCAGGAGTTTCGTGTCCAAGGTGAGGAATTGCCCTGGATCACTAAGCCCTTGCAACGTCTGATCCTTGGCATACGCCGCCTGAACCCACGCGAAGGCCTCATCGGGCCTATCAGCAGCTGCACGAATCGCCTCGCAAGCGGCAATCCTCCACGATCTGTAACACTCCAGACTGGGGTAGTCTAGCAACTTGATCGTTTTTGCCTCTTTCGCTGTGGGCTTGCCGTCTTCAACGCCCTTGTTCAACATGGACTGCAAGGCTTTCACAAGAAGACTTTCGGATGATGGCTTCTATACGACTGCTACGGCTGCTACGGGGACGTCCTTACTCGAAGCAGCACGTTCCTCATAAAGGGTTGAGTTCCCAACAAGTCTTTCATCTCCTCGGTAATGTCGGCGCGGACAGTGCGCAGACTGGCGGACCTTGAGTCCTTAGTGTGGGCTGTTCCTTGCGGAAAGCTATCCTCTGGCGCAATGGCATTTTGCCCTTGACCTGAAAATCGCACAGCCTCACCAGGGTATACCAGGGTGCCTGTGCAGCCCTGCATTTTGTTCTGAAAGTTGTGAATCAACAAATCGAACTTTATCTGCTTTCTAGTAAGTATGTTTTTGTGTTCGGCCTCTTGGACTTCAAACTTTTCCTTGAACTTTCGGGACAAGGAGATGGTTTCGGAACGGTTCGTGTCAAATGCCTTCCTCATGTCAGTCATTTCCTCGTCTTTCCTATCTGCCTTCTCGGACATTTGAACAAGACGAGAAATATGGTGTTCCGTATGCTGCTCTGTCAACAAAGTTTCTTGTCTCTTCAACTCGCGTGCTTCCCGTGTTGCTCTCAGCTCAGATTTCTCTCATCCGCAAAGTTAGCAAACTTGCCCTCCAACACCGCAATCTTTGCATGGTGATCTTGATCCACGAACTGTCTGAGTCCTTGCATTTCGCTCTGTACTCATATACTTGTGAACACACTGTGCGTG